GGACATGAAAACAATTCTAAAGATAGCTTAGTCAAATTCCACTTTGGAGAAGGTGCCTACCCACATAGGTATTATTCTTCCAGGGCAGTCAGGTCCATTCTCATTGTATGAGTGGACATACCTGTTGCAGAAGGCCATTTTATTTTCAGCCTCTTCCTACTGTATCAGGATCATTTATTTTATAACTCAAATCTATAGGTAGTCCTTGCTCAAACTGCATATGGTACTATAAAACACCTTTCAGTATGTATTTACTAAAATGGAGTGCTCTAAACAAATGTTCTCTTAGGCAGTATCTCCTTAATATAAACTGCATTTAATAAAACTGGCAGCAATTCTAAAAAGGAAAGGATAAGGCACATTCATAAAATATGTCTGAAAGAAATGTGCAATTAATATTTTATAAGACACTTAGATTTCAGATTCCTCTTTGCTGTAAGGTTTAAGAGCTTTCTTAAAATTGTATTCTCAGATATTAAATCCTTAATTAAATTAGTTTATAAAGAGAATACTCTACTGATATAGCTGTAGATTTCAATCCAATAGTCTTACTGACAAAGACAGTGTATGTTAAGACTTTGAGAAAAGTGGTTCATGGCACAGGGCTGTCACTTGCGTGAGGATATTTGGCTCTAACATCTGATCACTGAAAAGGTCTTAGAAGTTTTTCTGCACCTCAGACTTCTTAATTTTTGTTTTTAATTGGACTAAATAAACTAGAAAAGTGAAAATGAAAGTATATATATAACCCAGCTGCCATCCTTAGAACTCTCTCTGGAATACACAATGGCGGATGTTGACACTCCTCTGATAATGCTATCCTTGCTAGCTGTAGCTGTCTGGAAGGGGACTCTGTGGAGACTGGGCACACACCTGTAACCCAGGCTTTGGGGAGGCTAAGGCACATTCGAGACCAGCTTGGGCTGCACTAGTTTTTGCCTCAACAAAGAAAAAAAGGACACTATATTTTTGGTTGTTGTTTATTTCTGAGATAGTAATTTAATTACAATCTTTTCCCCTTCCCTTTCCTCCCTCCAAAGCCTCCCTGCTTTCCTAGGGACAGTAACTTTTTTTTAAAAAAAAAATTATCACATATATTGTCTCTGTGAATGGTACTGGGGATTGAACCTAAAGCTTTGCACATATGGGGCTAGAACTCTGTGTTTGGGATATATTATATTCTTATCCTGAAAGGAGGCATTCTTTAAACTTAGTGTCACACCTTTGGATCAGAGGCAACCAGAGTATTTTTAAGAACATGAATGGCATAAGAATACAAAGTCAATGAAATACTGCTGCCAGAAATGCAATGTCTCATTAAGTAACCTAGCCTGTGTACACAGGGCTACAATAGTCTCCTTCAGACTACAAGCATACTGCTTACTAGGGACCTCAAGAGTGTGTGTGTGTTTGTAATTTCCATATTTTGTGAGAAGTAGATACTAATGCGCAGATCGAGTGTGTATTAACTGCCTCCTGTCCTCACTGTGGAGCACAACAGTAAGGAGCTGCTGCATTTGTGTCGACTACTCCATTTCTAGGGATTTGTGTTGAACATGGGGATAGTAGATTTGGGGTTTTCTTGGTTACACATTTCTCAGAATAGGCTGAAGATATACATTGGGTTTCCAAAAAGTTCCCCAATTCTTCACCCCAGTCACATCCTACTTAATGAAAAGGAGGAGCTTCAAATACAGTTGAAGAGCATACGCATCACATGTCTGGACAGACAGACACTCCTATTGGTTTCTTTCCCTCCTGCACTATTCAAGTTTTTTTTTTTTCAAGATGGTTAAACGGTGCACAAGACCAAAAGGAAACCCTGAGCATTAATCAAGTTCCACTATACAATAAAAATTCCTTAGGAGTACAAGAAAGAAAAATGTACTATCTGATCTTGTTATAAATCGAAAGTTTTAGACACTTTAGGAAAAAGGCAGCAAGTAATGGACTTTCTTCACATGCAAATGTGAAAACTGGAGAAAGCTCAAAGTGTCAGCGGATCATGTGCTTTTCTTTTTCCTTTTTAAAGAAACTGAAGGCATATGGCAAAGTGCATCATTAATTTCTTATTAATTTTATAATATGAAGGCAGCCAGTTAAATAGTAGTGCTACAACTTTAAATTACTGAACTCACTGGGTATTTAATGAGAGATTTAGCACAGCAGGGTTTCTGCTAAATTAAGTCGTGCTTTCACATCGCAGTGGGAAAACAGGTGTATATTGGTTTAGAATTATGGAAATGTTGACTAATTCTAAGGCTTGTAATCAAACAGCAAGGTACCCTGTAATAATTTTTCTTCAAGCATATGCATTAATCTTTTATGTCTGGTCCAGTTTCTTCCTGCCTACCAAAGGCTTACAACAGAAAGGCAGCCACTTTCATGTCTTCCCTGCAGCTGTTGAGGGTGGTGTTTTTAAGACAATGCTACATATAAATGTAAGATGCGAGACTTTATCTCCACCCACCACGAGTGAAAGGCAAATGTAGCAAGTGTATGCACTGTAGAGACCTTTGAATCTTACTAATTATACCTGACTTGTTAAATTCTTGTTTAACCTGCTTCAAGCCACTGAGCCTATGAAATTGGGATAGAAAAGAAAAAGAAAAAGATCCTACCAATTGAATTTTCCAACTCCCAGTTAATTTATTTTAAAAGAAAAAAATCTTTATGTGTATGGACATCTTGCCTGCATGTATATTTGTGTACTATGTGCCTGGTTCTCACAAAGGAGGCCAGAAAACAGCATCAGCCCTCCTGGGAAAGCCACCTTGTGGGTGCTGAGAATTGAATCTGAGTCCTTTGGGAAAAGCAGCCAGTGTTCTTAATTGCTGAGCCATTTCTCTAGCCCCTACCCTAATTATTGCCCTTAATTATAGGTTTCCAAAGTCTCCATTCCTGAATTTTATATTCAGAATTTTAGGAGAAAAGAACATGCAATATTTGAAAAACATACAAAAGGAATATTTCTAAGAACCAAAGTTAAGATGTCCTCTACCCCAAGAACAGTTGTCAGTACTTTTCATTCACATTCCCCCAGGTCTCTAGTAAATTATACTTACCAATTATTACTGACATGGAAATGGGAAAATACCATCAGCTTTATATTTTCTGTTCTGTGTCAATACAAAGCCATAAACTGGGCAATAAAATAATGACCTGTGGCCAGCTGGCTTTATCACCAAATTCTCAGTTTCTAAAAAACACCTTTGTACAGGAGGACAACAAAGTGAGAACTGAGCTTCTACTCAAGGGATGTGATCCAGTGAACCAAATGACATGGCATCCAACTGCACTACACCATATAGTAAAGAGCAGTATACCATGTGGCATCTAACTGCACTACACTGTGTATAGTAAAGAACATTTCATGATGAAAAAGAATTCTTAATGCATCAGGAAGGGATTTTGTATGCTAATTATTGTAAACCATTCATTTGTATAAGCAGGAGAACTAAAGTAGTCTGGATTAGAGTCTGGACACAAAAAAGTTAATTTTCTTCTATTTTTGTCCAAGGCAATAAGTATTTGGCTACGGCTTTCTAGAATGATATTGGAAAACTTTCACATACCTCAAGAATGAAGCTTAATTACTATTACTTTTTAAGTCAACAGTGAAAGATTTAGCAAAAGCCATCCTACTAAAAATGACTTTGGAAGTCTATGGAAGAAGCTCCACAGAAGCGTCATTGTGTCACTACACACTTGCTTTTTATCCTTTGCTTTACTTGGATAGATGAAAAAGAGAAAAACCAAAGTGGGATGGCTGAATACCTGTGTTCATTAGTTTATTCCTCTTGGTGATTAAGAAGTTAATACTTTGGCTGAGTATGATGACACTTGCCTCCAATCCCAGCACTTACTCACAAGTTAGAGGTCAGCAAGCACATTAGACCTTGTCTCAGAAGTTATCTACCTCAAAAAGAGCTTAGATTTTGAAGATCTTTTACTGAGTATCTTTCTACTACAGATATTGTAAGTTTTCTGTGGTCCTAAGTTGAATTATACAAATTCTATGTTTTGAGGAAGCCAGAGGCTAAAGTACCTATGTGTGCCCATATGTATAACTGATGCACACGGTTTGTGTGTATGTACAGTACAACAAGTAACCATACACTGAAATAATACCCCGAAACACCAGGAGCATTTTATCCTTCTTTTCTTCTTACCAAAAGATGTTTGAATAACATCATGGTCCCTGGGGTGTTTACCACAGGTCCTTTATTATAACTGACACACATCATTATGCTATTAAATTAACTCACCACTGACATTTAGGTAAATGGAGAAAATATATCAAGGAAACAGCAAAGAAAAATTTGTAGTACTATGCAATACTTAAAAAAAACTCACAAAAATCTGATAAAGCCTAATGAAATTGGTACATGGAACAAGAGTTCATTTCCAATGAGCTGTACTAAGCATCAGTATTACTGGGAGGGGAATGAGAACCAGTACTGCAAGCTTCCTGTGCTCTGCTCTGCACCAACATGAAGGCACACGTTTGGCATTAAAACACTGACTTTGTTAACCACCATTGACTGTTTAGAAGTCATTAGGAGCTTTAACATTATGTCTATACAGAGTACATTTTGTCCTTTAAATGAAAATCTAAAGACGAAAATTGAAAAGGGGATCCTGGGGAGTAAAAGCTTTCCCTTTTCCATTTGCTTTACTTGTATGTGGGGTTTCCCCCACCTTTAAATTCCCAACCCACCCAATACTCTCTGGCAGCTGCTATACCCAGCAGGGTCACTCTGATTTTCTAACCAGGGGACATGCTATTTGAGTGTTCTTCCCATCAGTGTTAATGCCAGTCCTTCTTTGTGGGCTGGCCAGCTAGTCTGGCTACTGCAGGGAACAGAGAGGGGCCAGCGTGTACTCCTCAAAAGACCAAAGCCATTTTTTGGCACTAAGAACCCATAACTAGAACCTTTTGCTGAAAGGACCATTTTCAAGCAATAAAGTGATTTTGGTACAAAAGTAAACTGACTCACCCCAGGTAAAGTTTTAATATTGTGCAGTGCATTCTGGGCCTCAAGTGCAGCTTTTCTTGTATAAAATGTTACGAAACAACAACCTACAGAGAGAAATGAAAAGGTTTTAGAAATTTCTTTGAAGGCTTTGCTTAGATATAATGGAGACTGTAGCGAACAAATAATCTACTTAAAAGGGTGCACAATTTAAAGATAATCAAGCACATGAGAGCAGCAATAACAACACCTCACGCATTTACACAGTGCCTTTCATCCTAAATCACATTTCTCTTTACCTGCATTGGAGATCAATCCATTCCTTCTGTGCTACCCACCTGGGATACAAGTATTTAGACATGAAGGTAGGCAGGAGGAGACAGAGGGCAAGGCAAGGGGCTACTAGGACTTGGACCAAAACAACTTCAAAAAAGAGAAGCACTTGATTAATCAGAGTAGCATTAGTATGAACTTATGTATAATTTTCTTAGAGTAGCTCTAGAATGTTATACTTATACAACACCTCGTAAGCTTACAAGTTTAGGAACTCCACAGACAGGACGGTTCTAAAAGGCTGGGAGAGTGCCTTATTCTCTCATCTTTACCATAGAGTGCATAAAGCCAAGTTCTGTGCACTCAGCCCTTGTTTGTTAAAAACCATTAGCTAATTTTAACCATTTAAAAATTAACTTGAGCCAGTCATACCAGTGCATGCCTTTAATCTTAGCACTCAGGTGGCAGAGGCAGGCAGATCACTTAGTTCTAGGCTAGACTGGTCTACAAAGCCAGTTTCAGGATAGCCTCGGCTATATAGAGAAACCTTGTCTTGAAAACCAAAACCCAAACCACCTAGCAATATGAATGAGTATATACCCAAACAGATGTAAGTGAAATCTGGCTCATGCAGTAAATAATGGCTGTGAAAAATCTTTGTATTCTTAATTTGTAAAGGCTGACAGAAACCCAGGCCAAATTCCCTCCAATAAAGGACAGCAAGTGCCTTTTTGAAACAAGTCTTCTCTACCATTCTATGATCATTACTTCAGTGACCTGAAGGCTCGTCTTTCCCTTTCATCAACTTATAAAGATACTAGTTAACATTAATATAAAATTTCTCAGCATTATCAGTGTAGGAAGAAGTAATAGACAACCATTTTACAAACTGCCAGCTAAGGTTACACAATGTGAGTCCCTGTCTCAAAACAAAACAAAACATCCCAAATAAATGAACAAACCACCTCCAAACCCTTTACAAATGTATTTAATTAATTAGTTAATTATTATATGCTCAGGCCAAAGCACAAAGAACAACTTGTAGGAGTTAATTGTCTTTCTAGCACATAAATCCAATAAACTCAGGCTGTCAGGTCTGCTGTATGCATCTCACCAAGTGAGTCATCATGTTGTTCCAACTTTACAAATTTAAAGAAAAAAGATTCTATTTTTGTTCTGGGCTGTCTAATAAGTTACAATCCAGAAGTGAACTTTTAGCCTTGATTCCATAGCCATGTCTCCCTGCTGCTCTCTCTGAGACAGAGAATTAAGTTGTCTGTGCTGTGGTGTAATGGCATTCTCTCATTGTGTAATTTCAGTCCCAACTGGTACCTGGCTCTTGCTTGGTCCCTATCATATACGCTATGCTGCACTAAATTATGGGAAGTGAAGCTGCCTACCACTCCTAAAAGGTTATAAATGCCTGAGTTTTTCTTTGTTCTGAGATTAGTCTGAAACTTCTCAAGGGCTCTGATCTGGAGATTAAATCTAGCCTCTGAGGGGGCTCCTCTAGCCTCCCCTGCCATGGTCTCTTTCCAAGCAGTTCCCTCTTTGGACTCTAGTGCAAAGTCTCTCCTCCCTTCTCCTTCCCTCTAAAGTCCTGTTATGTTTAGATATATCCATATATTGTACTGTTGCTGCCTAATTATGGCCTTGGTGACCTTACATTATAATATACCTCATTTAAGGTCTTTGTGAACTAACTGCAAGCCATCCAAGACTACACAGTGAGACTGTCTCAAAAAACAACAAACAATGAGAAACAAACACCACCTCCCCCAACAAAAACAAAGTTCAGGGTTAAAAGTAAAAATTTAGGTTCAAGAATATATAGATTAGTCTAGAGAGTAGAGAAAAGACAGGGGGTTAAAATTTAAGAACTAAGCAGAGGCAGCATCAAACACAGAAGACATAAGGACATAAGAGGTCGTAGGATCAGGTCTCCTTCTACACTGAGATCACTGAAGAGTCTTGACACAACAATACAGTCATCTCAAGATTAAAGAAACTGTCAAAATCACTGCCACTCCCTTCTCACTGGGAAGCACTGGAACCCACACACTGCACTGGCAACCTTGAGGAAGGGGGTGGGTGACTGTTCTAGCCATTTCCAGTGTCAATTTGGCTGATGCTTTCCATCATGAACACATTTCTTTTGGTGAACAAAAGGTAGGTCAGGTGTGTTCTTCCTTTTTAAAATGTTTCTCAGAAAAGGAAAATTTGAAGTTGGCAGTTGAGCAGTCATGGGAAACTAGGTGAAGAGAAAGGAATGAAGAAAGGTGGATGATGTGCAGAAGAGAAAATGGAAACCCACCCAAATCTCCTGATCTTTCTAAGGTTGCCTGGGATCGATCCATCCACTCTACCTTAGTGATCACTACGGTGAAATCTGGGACAGATCACTACTTATCCTTTCAAAATATACATGGCTGACCAACCCTGTTATTGTACATCCATTTAGACAGAGATTCTTTAAGGTTATACTAAGGTAAGCACTGGCTTTACTCTAACAACAGGGAAGGGTATCCTGAAGACCTGGATAAAAGGCTTCTTTTGCTATTTGCTCATTTGCTGAACCCAGAAGCTCAGCTCCATCTTAGCAAGCAGATTTGGAGCTTTTTATGTAAATTAAAAAGTCACCCTACTTACACCAAGCGGATATAGTTTCTTACCATAGTTCATTAATGGTCTAGTTTACATCTCTGTCTCTAATCACAGCCTCAGTAGGGAAAATGTCACAATGAACAAATCTTAGTAATGTGGGAGAGGTGTCATGGGACAGCAAATAAACCTAGAATTATTATCCTGTATTTTCTTTTCATTTCACAGTCTGGTTTCTGGATTACTGGGGAGAAAATACATTTCTTTCTCAGTATCATTGTTCCTTTGTAATTATCTTCATTCCATGAAGAAAAACTTGACAAACAAGTCTTTTAAAAAATATCCAACTTTTTTTTTCATTTATTTTGCTAAAGGTGACTTTTCCTTTTGTACAAATGAAAATGATTGTCTTAAAATCTGCAGAGCACATACAGACATCCACATTTAGAGAGCCACCACAGATGCAGAACTAGTGGGATGAAGCAGTGGTCTCTCCTAGTGGACTTTGATTTTCATATTTTCAGAATTAGAATGTATTCAAAGATTATTTGTAAGTATTCTTTTAGTTTACCGTAGACTTTTTACCTATCTCTTAACTATTAACTTAAAATCTTAGATTAATTTATCAATTGAGAATATCTCTAAAAGGGAAAAAATATCATTTTCTCTAATTTTTTGAAAATATAATTATGGCAAAAGGCAAGGGAGCAACTATGGATCTCAGATAACCCGTGAAGCCTTAAACAAGCGTAAAACCGCCTTTCTTGCTGTCCTAACTGTAAGTACAGCTGCTAAGGGAACCACCTGCTCTTACATTTCCCCACGCCAGCTGTAACTCAGGTCTGAAATGTACTGAATTCATTTCCAGGTCAGATGTAGCACCATCTGGCTCAGACATCAGACTCCGGGACAAGCGTCTCTCCTTATGCATGTTCTGCTTCAATCCCAGCTTCTCGAGGTAGGTGGTTAACCACCTACAATACCCAGATGGTATCCATGGTCAGTGGTTGCACCATCTATCAGAGGGGTTAGCTGTCTTGTGGCTCTGTTCATTACTGAAGTGCCTCATTCATGGGTACCAAGAAAAGCCTTGCTCCCCTCCAGAGAAGAGCACTACATATCCCAGGGACTCTGAGGATAGCCAAAATGAATACAGTTTGACTCATGTGTTTCAGCATGTTCCAGCCCTTCTATTTTTGCTTTATGCTGTTTTCTTTTTTATGCTTCATATGTTTCTACTTTGCTCACATGACATTATTTAATGAGCACATATACTTTATAATTTGTCTCATACATATCTACTCATTTAGGAGTTTCTGCCAGTGACAGTATCTGAGTCTAGACTTTTGGCAAACTTCAAATGTAGAAAAGACAAACACAATGCCCTGATTACTTTATAGCATTCCTTTTGCAACAACAACAATTAACTGAGTTAATAAAAGTCAGAACAGAAAAACATCTAATCATCCTTCTTGTGTCCATTATCAACAGCTCCCTATTATCCTTCACCACGGCTTTTGACATTCACAAAAACTGGTACAATGGTAAAATTTTAGAGGTGATCCCAGAACCAAATATTGTAGTCTCTATGTTGAACTTAATATTTTTTACTACTGATCACTCTCTTCTGGTGATGCTGTGCATATTTAGGGTGTGTGTGTTAATATTTTATATTTTTTTTACAGACTACTAACAACTCACTAAGGAGTAATTATGCTGTTACCTTCTCACAGTACTGTCAGGGGCACTTGAAGCCTTTCACTGCCCATATTCTTAGGAACTGGTAAGTCTAGCAATACAGTTGTGTATGATGGGTTGGTAAAGCAATCTGTAACAAGTACTGTAACTATGAGATGTGACTATCCCATCATGTGTCAGAAAGCTGAGAGTGGTGATTCCCAGAGAAGTCCAGAACCACAGTCTAATAGTCAGTGTCTATTATATTTTCAGCAACAATTTCTGCTGTCATAAAGAGTTCCCTTGGGCATTTTTTCCATCTTAATTGGTGAATAATTTGTGACATTGTTAATTTTTTGTCTGTTTCCAAAGATAAAGACCCTAACAGACAGGCCAATGGAACATGCACGTGCATACAAACAGGCATGTGCGTGCACACACACTCACATACATGCACACACATACTTTCTGTCTTAAAAAAACTATAAAGAAAACACTCAATTTTACTGAAAGACTTTAATTTTAAATTATCAAGCACATTTATTCTGAAAGAAAC